GATGGATTCCGTTCCCAAACGTTTAAATGGCCAATTGTTGTGAGGAGATCAATGATCAGTTGCTAATATTCCAATTCCAATTGACAAAGGTCATCAGAGTGTTTAAAATAGATAATAGGATGGAGCAATAGAAGTATTGGCTTTCAGTGTATGTTACAGACATTCGTGTTTCTGTTTACGCCCAATAGATTTCCACTGCTCTGTGTAATCATGGAAATGATAAAAGATATTGTTTGAGGCTTGTTTCCCTTGGAATTAGTTGCCTAACCTACTTGACTTATATCTATGATAATTTCCAATTCAGAGGCCGGGCTGATTTATTTCACTTATTTTTTTGTCGCCGGTTTCTTAGAGATCTACTCGGACATGTGTAAATGAGCCGATGTCTCACTGACATTTAGACAAGTGACCATCTTCAGTGACTGTTATGGACGCAGCCCAAACAAAGCTAGGGTAAGAAAGTGTAGATCCGGGTAAGTGTGTGAAACTTTATTTACACTCGAACTAATGGTTGTGGAAATCCACCGACCAGGTTCGCAGAAGTTGCTCCACTTTTACACATAGGTCTCCTCCAGGGAAGGCGCAGAACTATGGTCAATGGGAACCGATGTGCCACATGAGGCTCTGTGGGGTAATGCTCAACTGCATCAATTGCAGCAGTACTGTGTTTAGCAGATGCCTTTGTTATCTGCAGCAAGAAAAGTTTCTGGTTCCCTCCCTTGGGTTTCACTCTGATAACTTTCCATTTGGATTTGCGACCGCAAGTCACTGGGGTGTGTGCAGTAATGTCGAGGTACACACCAGTTACACCGTTTGGTGTGTTCACCATCAGGAGGAGTTGTGGGTTGTAAATTCTTCTGTTCGTGACATGATCTCCACCAGCAGAGAGTATGCCTGAGACTTTCATGACTTTCGTCTGTCGTTAGTTATTGCTACAAGACACTACCCACACTAAAGGCCCTGTATAAATGCGAGCTGTTATTGTCGTTGATCCATCTTTCTAGATTTTATTACTAAAAAGCAGCAATTGCCAGAATCCTTATTACATTTAAATCATGCCTCGCTCGTCGAGCCTCTCTTTTAGGGATACACGGTGACTTGCTGTTACAGAAATTAAAACACTTCCATTTAATTATAAACTTTCTCCACTGCTGAGTGGGAACACATTTGACATATGTATCTATAAACATAACTCCACCTCTGTTCAAGTGATACCTAATGCAATATATGGAGCACTAACTCTATTTAAAAATACAGTGTGTGGAGGAATGCAATGCAAAACAGCATTAGCTTGAATTCATAATTGAACTTTCCAAAATGTAATTATGAAAGATGAAAAGCTCCTTTCAATGAGAAGGCTGTAAATAGAATAATTAATTTTGTATTTGGTTGAACAATTCTGTATTAAAGACCTTACACTGTAACTGAAATTAATTAAGTGCACGAGGATTTATGGGAGTTGCAAACAAAAAGAATTAATATGAACTAAAAGATAGATGACTTGGGGAATGTAATGATGCATTAGCATTGGGTATTCTTTAACAAATTTAGCAGGCATGCACAGAGTGCAAAGTTGCACTGACAGAATTATCTAAACTAATGCAGCAGCTGGCTTTGTAACAAATTGAAATTGCTGATGAGAATGATGAGCTCAAATGCATTAAAAAATGTTTTTTTTTGCGATTTTCTTGGCAATGCATTTTTTTTTACAGGAAACTCAGAAAAACTACTTTGTTATTAATATCGAGGGCACTAATTAACTAACAGTTCTTTGATGTTCTGCGGTGCCTTGCTTAAAGCCCTTGGACACATCTGTACACAAGGATGTTTCCATCTTCCATTCCGTGGTTCACCCTGCATGACTGAACCATTCGGAACAAGAAGATCACAGCTTCAATCGCCATTGAATCAGCTAAAGTCTGTGTGAGAAACACCTCCACAGTAACCCTGAGTTGCTCAACTGGGGTTTAGACTTGTGATGATTGTTAACCGGTGATTCCGGGTATAAAACACGATATACAATACCAGAGAGATCTAAACCTCAACTGACTATGTGGGATGCAGGTGCCAGCAGAACTGAAAACCCTCAGAATGATATACTCGAAAAGCACTGGCACAATTTCTTCTGTAACCTCGTCGCAACTCTGCCAAATAATTCTCATACAAAAAAAAACCCCCAACAACTTGCATTAATATAGCAGACTTCACACAGGATAGTGCCTCGAAGCTCTGCTAGCAAGTAACGCATGCTTATCAATCAAGTGACTGGTATTCTTCCATGACATCACCTCAATCGCCTCTGATGGTTTCTCGTCAATGTAATTTTATCTCTGCTTTTGCTAGCATTAATAGTGTTTTTGTTTTGCTCAGCTGTAATATCTATTACTTTAAATTACAGTTGGCATATACTGAGTATATGGCTGCAATTTAATCACCGAGTTCATGTGACATCCATAAACTACTTGAGCTTTGCTCCCCTGCTTTGTCATCTGAACCGCGAGAGTAGATTACAGACTTATTACTCACTCCCAACCACCATAATTCAGTGTATATTTTCTTAATTTCTACAGTGCAATGAATCTACAAATCTTTGTTCCTGTATGTTTCTCTAATTCTACTTTAATGCTTTAACGTTTAAGGGGGAATTATTTCTCCTGAGAATAAGCCCAGACAGACACCCAAGGATACATTTGCATTCAGCACTAACATTCGCTTGAACGAATGTTAGTGCTGGATGCAAATTGGGTGCATAACAGAAGAAATCCTGTAAGTTTCCTACACTCACTGATAGCTGCTCTCCTACAACTGTGTATAACAGCTGAGATTTCGGAGATAAATGTTTTTCCGGATTCTAAATGAGGAGACATGTGTCCTGACTCCGACTGGCGAGATTCACAAAGAGAAAATATTCCTGACTTTCTCCAATTCAATTCGGAATTTGCTGCTCTGACCTGTACCTGGATACGACACCCAGCAATTCAGACAGTTTCAACTCAATTCAAGAAGCATATTTGTTTGACCTGCGGAGGGTCCTTAAAGATTTGGAACCACTATGCTCACAAAAGGCTGATAGAGACCGAATCAATAAGGGTGTTTAATAGAGAGACTGACAAATACATGGGAAAATGGAGGTAACATTAGTAAAGCATTAACTAGACACAGCACAGAAGCTGGATATAAAGAGTGCAGAATAACCAGAACAACAGAATTACATGTGTATAGCGTCTTTCACGTCGGGAGGATGTCCCAAGGCGCTGGACAATCAGTGTTTTGGACGCAAGCTGGGTGTTGGGATCGGGGTGATTGGAGGGTGGGGGGACTGCGGGATGGAGTTCCTGAGGGTGGCTGATGGAGCTGGCACTTGTTTTTGTAGCAGATAACTAAATGGATCGTAACTGGTTAAATCGTGTCCATTATTGTGTAGAAATGGCAACTACTGTATTTTCCTCCCGATGTGCCTGTGATCTTTTCCGTGCGCATTGACTGGCTTTATTCCAGATTTTACAAGCAGAGTTTTACCCTTTTAAGCTCTACTGATGACAGGGTGTGAACACACAGAAATCTTTAGCTATCAGTGGGTTCCAGGATATTCACACACACTGTGCCATCAACAGGTTTAAGCTCATTGTAACAGTCTGTGTATTTTCCAGATAGAATAAGTATCAACAAATACAGTATATTGAGCAGAGAGACCAGTTTACCGCCTACTCGAAAATAGGATGCTGCCTCTAAAAGTCGGTTTAATCTGTGGGTCAAGTCATATATATTTTTTGTTACAAAAAAATTAAACTTGCAGAATTTGTCCAGTTAGGACTGACTACCTTACCCTTTAAGACTTTGGTTGACAGTGTTTGAAGAGACACGGCTGCACTTCCAGGTCACGCAAGTCAGGCAGGCGTCCAACAATGGCTTGGATTACAGTGAATTCTGTAACAGCAAAACAAATGGCATTGCTCAAAATTATTATAGGTAATGATTCCAGTGAGCTAGCTAGTCGATGGCCTCTTGTTTATTTAGCACAGGGGAGCCATTTGTTGTTTGGCGAATGTGAAACCTTGGCACGTATCTTTTAAATATCTAATTATGCAAGCTAAAATTATTTGCTGTCATCGGTTAATATAAGTTAGGAGGCTGCATGCTTAAGCTGTTGAAATAATTTTGATTGTCTGAGCGAGGAGGAGGCTGCACAGCAGGACACAAATCCTTGGGTTTGAAAGGCCGTGGAAGCATAGGAACACAAGGATTTGCTCGGGTGAAAGAAGACCAAAGGTCCATCTAGTTCGCCTTCCACCATCCTGGCAGTCGCTTGACATGTCGTGTCCCAAACTATACCCCGGTATTGCCTAGTTGTGTTGGGCACAGAGTGTGCATTGCAATGGTATGCAGCTGATACTCTAGCTATGTCTAATTGTGGTGTCTCATTTCAGTGTAAATACTTTAGACAAAACCTTTTTGTTTGTGTCTCACTTGGGCAGTGTCCGTGTTTAGGTCTCTTCCCCTTAATTGATTTCCCTCTTTCTTAATGCAAGTTGTTTCGTCCTCTCCCATTTAAGCTCGGAAGTGGGTGAAATTACGTTCAGCTTGAGCAATCTTAATAGTCTGCATAAATAGAACTTAGCGTAGCATGCATTAACATCTCCATCCTTTGTCCAGAGATTAAATACATGCCACAAATGGTTTACACATCATCACACTGATCCAGGTTTCAGAGCTCACGACCAGAGAGAATATTAAATTAATTTGCAGCTCACTTTAACAAAGCTCAGAAACATTCAACCGGCTATTAATCAAATAATTTCTATCAATCACAGCTGGAAAATGATAATAACCAGGCCATTAGAGCTGGACAGGTGTACGCAGAGTCACAAGCATATTTGTTGAGGCTGTGACTTAATGGGGTTAACAGGCTGGGACACAGGAGGTCTTTGCACCAGCTGGACACGAGTTTTGGGTGGCCAGTGTACGAAGGCTGATCAAATCACATAGGTTGAATATCGTGGAGTCCTGTGGCTTAGTGGTCAGAGTGCTCGCCTGGCAAGCGAGAGGGCCTGGTTTCGATTCCCGGGCGGGGCAAAACCTGAGGCAAGTTTCCTTACTCCACACACACGCCTCTGTTTACCTAATGGTAAGTATGAACCCAGCTGTTAGTCGATAGATGGATCGCTTTTCCGGGGATAATAATCCCTTCAAAGGAAAATTATAATTTGTTCGCTCAATCCACCACTGCTGCCGTGTTTCGCCTACAAAAATACACAGTCAATTCACTTTGCAGTATATTCCGTGAAGCACTTTGAGACGTCGAGGACATGAGGAGGCGCTGTATCAAATGCAAGGATTATTATTGTTATCTTTTCCTTTGAAAGAAAATGACAATTAAAAAGGCAGAGGACTCACTCGCATATCATCTCTGACGGGCTTTGTTCAGGAGGTATGACGTCTCTCCGGTTATTTGACTGAGCTGAGGGACTGTGACAGCCCAACTGCGTTGATGTCAGAGCGGGTTTGAAGAGCAGCCCACGGCATTTAGCTTAGTCCACAGTGGCCCCAGAAGATGCCATTCTTTAAATGGGCCTGTAATCGATCCAGGGCTGTTCGATGAAACCCCAACAGAGCAAAAAGCTTATCACTCTTCATTAGAGCAGCCTGTCTAAAGCATGATGAATCCTACCACTGGCGTCCATTCTACCATGCCAGATCAATAAGTCCCATAGTTGCTGAAGAAAGGAATACTTTTCGAAATGAGTTGCATACCACTTTGACTCTATTTAACAGCACTCCGTTTCTCTTCCAACTGCTGCGCGGTTGATATTTTAAAGAGTTTGGGATCCTGGGTTTGAGAAGACAACAAACAACTTGCATATATATCACTCCCCTAACCCAGAGTAGCGTCCCAGAGCAATGAACTAAATTTCTGGTGGCAAGTAACTTGCTAAAGCCTCAACAAAACAAATAAATACCACAATTGGTGGAATCTTTGTGGGCATCAGCCTCCTGTTTCTCCCCCACTTTCCCCTCTCCTTTAAATATTTTTTTAAATGAAGAACCTCTATTTATCTTTTTTTGCACATATATGTACATGTATGCCACTCTCAGTGGAGGTGTAGTTGAGTCCCTTTGTGGTGGTGGGTAGGGGAGGGAGGGTAATTGGGGGGAAAGTAAACGTGAAGTTAATGGTGAAAAAGGTTTCACGAATGGATAAATGAGTATAACAAAGTACATACAGAAAATGCCTGAATATTCAAAGAATGAATGTATCAAAAATATAAAGAAACCAACTATATATGACATATTATATATATTACGTGTGATGCAGAGCCTTTTATGCTGAGAGGACATTTTAAACCACTTCCTAGGATATACTGCAACGCGTAGTAACTGTGCATTTTGAAGGTGAACACAATACAGAAAGAATGTGTGGAAAATGTGATCTCGGAAAAATGAAAGGTTTAAGGCATGAGGGTCAAGGCGCTGGTATGCCTGACCATATAGCCCTGAAAATGAGTTCAAATTTAAATACACGCTTTTATGATGGAGGTGATAATGTCTCCATTATCCAACCATGTCAATTAAACAGAGTTTCCTTTTCCACATTGGTAATTAACCAAAAAGCTCTTAGAAAAATATTGCTGCTTCAGGATGGCCACTCAAAGAGCCATTACCGATCCAAAGCTGAGCTTAAACCAATTACCCCAATTTCTTACAACCAGCTTGTTTAATGGGCTATTGGAAATCTTTATTCCGAGTAAATAAATGAGAGCAGCAAATTCCATAAAAAGTTTTGCAAAAACTCATAAAAACGCAGGGTAACAGAACTAAGTGTGCATTGGACTCTAGTTATTTCTCTCCCCCCGTCTCCCCCCAAATCAAATAGAACCAAAGTCATGTACAGTACAGAAGGACGTTTGGCCCATTTATTCGTGATGGTGGTTCCTCCTTCAAGAAACCATCCATCATAATCCCAAACCCCTTGCTCTTTCCCAGTGACCCCCAATAATAGAGGCTAAAACCCACAGGTCAAAACAACCTTGCAAGATAGAAACCTCCTTTCACTTCGGAAAAGGTTTACTCTCAATTGTAGTACCTTTTTATGCAGATAAACGCAACGGGAATTAGTGGCAAGCAGCCTTGAGGTGAACAAGCCAGTGATCCACAAATCCAGTCTGGCTTTGCACTGTCCTGGATGTGTAACCAACACTGGACAATGTCAGCTCAGAAGTGAGTGAGCGCGCCACTGCTGGGGAAGCAGAGCTCAGGTGTCTGAGAGTGTTGCATAAGATGCACTAGAGAAAGCTATGTGCAAGAGATTCTAGCCATAGCTCAGCCACCTGCTATCTGTCCTGGGAGGCTGTTGGGCATTGCAATTGTGTGCTCAGTATGAAGAGAATTTCCTTTAGGCACCCCGGTTGATGCTGCGAATCGCATGTGCGCGGAGCCTGATTCACAGTGAAGCTGAGCCAGAAATCAATCTCAATTAAACCCAAATCTAGATACATTAACGTTAAAATTAATATGTCTCAGACTTGGTACAGTTTTGCATGAGTCTGTCACTAATCCACAACGCACAGATCTGTCTGTCCACACTCCCCTAGTCCGATAGACTGATGTGCGAGAGAGAGCCTCGGTTGAACATTCGAGTAAATATTCTCTCAGGCAATCAGTAAGAGCCTTAACTGCACCCAATAAGATAATAAAGCTGGGATTGACATATTTTGAGTTATAAGGGAACGTCTAGTCCAATTAACAGAGTTGGACGTTTAAATTATACCCAATTAGCATAATTAATGACAGATTATCCCAAACCGTATAAAAAATCTTCCTTTCCGAAAACGATTGCAATGTGACTTGTGGGTCTTCAGTTGATGATCAAAATGTTATTTGTGTTTCATCTTGACAGTAGCCCAACTCTGCCCCGTGTGAAGGGCACTGTATAAGTGCAAAATTGCCCACAAACACGTCTGCAGAACCATTTTCTTAGATCCTGCTATTCACTTTCCATTTTTGTGGGCAGATGGTAATGAGCAAATAGCTGACATTTCTTTGCTGCTCCTTGTTTCTTTAAATAAATATCTGCCTGCACAGTGGTGGCCTGTGTCTAGATTCCCAGGTGCTCCAGTGTGAAGTGTCCCATTTCCTCATGGCACTCATCCAGGCAGCCTGGCAAACCAAGGGTGGATGTGGAACTATGTCAATACTCTCTTGTGGTCGATGGCACCAAACTCATAATAGCCTGTTAGTACATCATTCATTATAATCTCTAGTATCTTGCGGCAATATGCTGGCATTATATATAAAAATATAAATAAATACTAATAATTTGGTCACTCAATCCACGACTGTTTGTGGGACGCTGCTGTGTGCAATTGGCTGCCGCGTTTCGCCCACAAAATATATAGTCAATTCACTTTACAGTATATCCTGTGAAGCGCTTTGCGATGTCTCAACGACATGATAAGGCACTAAATCAATTGCAAGGATTATTATTATTGTTATTATACTGGGACTGCTTATCCAAATTCCCCTATCAGTCAGCCCGGTTAGGGGTGGCTGGTAGGAAAACAGGTGGGAGACGGTGGAAGCAGAAAATGTTTGTTTCAGGAACAAATCAGATAGATTTCTGCTAGAAACTAATATCTGGGGACAGTATATAGTTTGGGACACAAAATGGGGCGACTGCCAGGATGGTGGAAGGTGAAATAGATGGACCTTGGTCTAATAGCAAATTCTTATGTTCTATGGTCTGCACTAAGGCTCTATATTTTTCACCGTGTAAGAAAGAAGTAACAAACGTGTGAAGCAACTTACGGCCGTAGCTTGTTTTTATCCTTTATCCCCTCAAGCGTTCTTATAAGTGACCTCATTCTTCTCGTTACAGTCCATATCCTACATTAAGAAATGTGTTTGTTTTAATTAACTCTTGTCTGTGAAGTGTGGAAAGGAAGCGCTATGATCATAATTTGTATACTGCAGAGAATATAATGAGGACAAACAGGATATTTGGGAACACCAATAAATGAAATGCTTTTACTCTTTGTTGATGCTTCAGGCTAAAATTAATCACCCTAATTTGCTGAAAAGTGTATCTAATGGTTCATGGCTGTGATTTTTTTTATTCTTTCCGTGGTTCAGACCACAGACTGGGGTTCAACTCTTAAAGGGGCTTCGCCATCCTGCAACAGAATCTTGCAAGCTGGAAATTTCAATGCACCCGTTGAGAGGAGAGGCAGTCTAATGCGATGACTGACTCCTGGTTTTCACTGCCATGTTATGATTCCCGACAGTCACATGAAACACCCTGTCCCTCTCCAAGTCAACGCTGCTTGCATACATCCTGGACAGCAAGACTGTCTCTCTCTGCCAGGCAGCACCCTCCCTTTAAAAGGCATTCCTTGATGATCAGACTTTAAAAACAAAAAATATTGTTGCTGAGATGCTGCCAGATTTATTTAGAAATTCCACTGGATCATGGATTTTGGAAAGGTCAGAAAGACAGACTGTGCCCGATTAAATGAGAGGCACTAAAGGTCCCTTCTTTACAGTGTAAGCAGATTGATTTCAGTGTGTGCTTTTTCAATTCAGATCGTTAAATTCCTTCCTTCTTCAACTTGACTCATCCCCACTGACCTGTACCCCATTCTCCGCCCTAGGTTTGGCATTGCACCTTTCACATCGGGAACATATTTCAAAGTACTTTTGTTTTTCTGGTCGGCATACGCAGAAACCCATCAGCGTATCCAAACCAAGCTGAGAATTCCATGCATCGCACCAACACGTGGAAATTCCCAAGATAGATTCTCTCTCCCTGGAGGGACCATCCTGCTTACCTAATTCCGGAGAGTATTGGGCGATCAAATTGCTTTGATTTGCTGTAAAGTGCAGCGACTGTGTAGGTTGAACGTTGGGTCTAGCTAACTCACCCGTGCTTGCTTTCAGAAGTTTAATTATCAAGTGTCCTCCTTTCTTATTCAAATCCAGGAAACATCCCAGTGCTCGTCAGAGATTATGCTGAAAGCATTACATGAATGAGAACCAGCATTCAGTTACAGCCTGAAAATGGCAGAGGGTTAGAGAAAGGTA